AAATGACAAGGGTGATGCTTGCATCTGTCCATATGACCATTGTGCATATTTGTAGAGGAAAGCAACAGCAGTAACCATGTTTAGCTTTTACTAATGTGGGAACTGATCAACTGTGCTCTCAAGAGCTCACCTGTGGGAGCTTCTAGTGTAGCCAGCCAATATCTAGATATTCAGATAACTGATTTATGGACAAAGAGATAATCTTTTTTTTTTTAATACTACGTGCACTACAAATACCAGAAACCTTTAGCATCAACAATATTCCCTCATCTACGGGTTCTTCATGTTCTAATATCGGATCATCAGATTATGAAGATAACACTACATTCTTTTTCTTCCACTTATCCAAGTCAGGGTCATGACAGGGCTGGAGTATAGCTACCATGGGGTAAGTGGTGAGGTACACCCTGGACAGGTCACTGCACTTTTGCAGGGTGAATATAAAAAACAAATAACCAATCAAATCTATGGCCAGTTTAGATGTGCATGTCTCATGTCTCACTGTAGCTAGAAGCTGGAGTACCTGAACAGAGCCTGGACCCAGGACTTTTGTCCTGTAAGGCTACAATGCTAACCCAAACATCACTGTGCTCCCCAAGGATAGACGCTGGCAGACTTAAACCTACACGCGGTGCACATCTGATCTAAAAAACCCTTTTATCACTTTTAATTGTGGATGTTTGGAGCGCTCCATAATCACACTTCTCCTCCCACTCAACTACAGTCACAGTATGACGACCTTCCCCTTGTATTGCAGTATAATTGCAGCATTAGGTATGTGTTCAGAATGAGAACATGCAGGTCTTACATACAAATTCACACTTAAAACATAAAGTTGTGTCCATCAGAATATGCTGACTGTCCACATTGGCTGTCCATAACCATATATACAGAAATATGAAACAGTGTTGGCAGGCTTGCACTGGTTTGAATAGTAAGGGCAGGATAAACACTATGTGAGCTTTGAAATGAAGAACACAGAAGATGAAGAGATCAGATTGACAGGTTTATTGCAGCGCTGAGCAGTAAGGATGATGATGACTGTTAGTTCACTGTTTTCTCTAAACAAAGGGATAAAAACATATGGCACTACAGTTCTAAGTATATTACACAGAGTGCTGAAAAGCCATTATATCAGCCACATACACTTGCACAAATGTTTAAAACATTTAAGCATGGAACATTAACACAGAGAACAAAAGAGCTCATATTTACACACTGTGAAGCAATCGACATTGAAGCGTCAAGCTGCTGGTGATCAGGGAAAAAGAGGCCACACGTGAATCCCTTTCATATGCTGCTCATCAGCCATGCCTCCGGGGCTTTTCAAAGCAGCCATTTTGGCATGTCATCCCAGGGTAAACACAAGGGTAACTGATAAAATAAATTACGGTCTCATTCTATTTAGTGTGTCACAGTCATTCCGATGAGAAAGCATGTACAAACCATGCCCTCGCCCATCTAAATGGAACAAGGCCATAATTAATGTCATTAATTACACCTGTGTTTACGCTGCACTGACACGTCTGCTTTGAAAATGGCCTATTCCAGTCTCCTCCTCGTCCCTTCATTTGCAGGTGAAAGCTGACCCTTTCCTTGCCATGCTTCACAACAATACATGTAAGTGTGAATAAGTGCATAACTGTGTATGTGTGTGTGAGCCTGTCTGAAGGCAGCTACTGTAGTAGGGGCGTCCAGGGGAATTGAAATTAATGAGTGTAATCATAAGCAAACAGCGAGCCAGGCAAGGGCAATTAATACAAGCAAAGCGAGCAGGGCTGCTGGTTTGCTCGGCCAGGCATGGCTGGAGCTGAAGAGATGGAGGATTAAGATGCAACCACAGACAAACTCCACAGCTTTCCCACACACAGCAGATGTCCACAGAGAGAAGGCGCTGGGAGCCTGGCATCAACACGCATCCGCCAACAGGCCACTTGGTCAGCCTGGCCCAATACAAGCTGACAACCTCCTGGCAGCATTTAGATAACACCATCTTCTCTGTTTAGTTTGAGAGCCAAGGGAAGGAACTCATGGGGGCCCCTGCACTGCATACGAAAGGGACTCATTGCAAAGCAGCACATTGGAGCCACTATGTGTGAAAGAGAGAGATAGAGGAACACAAAAAGATAAAGTGAGAGAGAAGTGGGGAGGGCATTGTGTGCAAGCTCAGCTCAAGTACATCAAGTACAATCTGAGGGACATTTTTGTTGCCCCCACACTGCCTCCATGTTTTTCCGATTGAAACATCCTTGAATGCATGCATTCTTTCAAGTATGCATATTTGCTTAAGTATAAATAAACACATCAGATCCAGATGCCTTCAGGAACAGGTCTGCTTGTTGTTTCCTCTAATTGACGCTAAACGAGAGTGTCACGGCCCAGGATCTTTTCACTGAGCCCTCGCTTTGTTGCCTTGAATGACGTTCGTTCCCCCAGCGGTCTCTCATTTCCACTGTTTACATGAGATAATGATGCATGTGTAAGGATACACTGCCAGGCCAAGTGAGGGGTTTGTTATGAACTGTGACGGCTGCCTCGTCAGGTCCAAAGCAATTTGTGTTAAAACGGAGCAGTGATGTCAGTTCAAACATACCGTAATAAAGTCAGATCCTGCAGCGTTGTTCTATAATGCACGCAGAGAGCAATTAATCGCTCATGCACATTCCCAAGAAAGGCTAAAAGGCCACGAAGTCAAACATGACTCTACAGATGGGACGATGTTGTTGAACTTGTTCCCCGTTTGTGTAATGTACTTAAAATGTAAATGTTTCCAGGAGATTACAATTACACTGTAGCAAGAAGTAAGTGGATAAAATGGGATTTAATGACATTCTCATTAGCTTCATTTATTTGGATTTGCATTAGCCACAGCAGTTAGTTTGCTTGAAAATGAGCGAGGTGTACCTGCTTTCCTCTATAAGTTTAACTTCCACACAGAACCAATGCTGTCTGCTGTGGATTTCAGTGATGCTGCTGTTGTGTGGACAAGAAAACTAAACCTGACAGCCTTATTCTGCCTGAGTCTCTCTTAGGAGCGGCAGACCATAACGCTCAGCAATACTGCAGATGAGCTAATGGCATTCTTATAACAAAGGGAGCAAAACAATTAACATTGTTATACCTTTCGCAATTTTCTAAATGATGTTGTCAATATGCTCTGACCACGAAACCCAGTATGCAATTTCTATTCATTTGATCTTATTGACTTCTTTGTATTTTATATCACCAGATATACAGCTGCTGGCTAACCATAGTCCACTCCCACCAATCACAGATTTTGATTTGAAGGTGTCCAAATCCTATTATTCATATTGACCCAGCATCCATCAATTCCTGCTTTAAGACGTTCGATGATTCAGTGCAGTTATCAGTGGGAGAAAACGTGCTGAATAATCAGCATAAATTGCACAGCTGTGTGTCAGCCCCGCAAAAAAAACAAAAAAAAAACGGAACCCTTCCACAGAACTGGATGAAATATGGCGTTGCAGAACGACAGAGTGAGACTTTAACACCAAACAATGTTGACCTCATTTCCTCAGCCTCAAGTTATGTAGCTGTTTCTGTGCAGTTTTAGAGTGTGCAGGTTTATGAAACACTGCTGGGTTGGAGGGCAAGTCCAACAAGATGATAAAATAACTGTCAACCTTTGATTGAATTCTCCTCTAATGTATTTTGTCAGCAGGAGAAATATCATTGGCCACTAGTTGATTTTTCTCTTTGCTTTCAATTCATAAATCCTGCTCTTTGTTGTCCAGAGAATGCAGACCGCAGAGAATATTGTGTCAAAGCTGTCTCTTAACACCTTCACCGGTCCAGATAAATTACTGCCTATGAAAGCCAACAGTTCTCTCTTTTAGAACCCCATTACTTTAATGGAGGACAATTCAAGCTTGAAATATTTACAGTTTTCCTCACGGATGCAGCCATATAGAAATTGTCCAGTAACATAAGCTCAGCTTAGATTGCTCTTATAAATTGATTAGTTTCCTCCGTGATCTTAAAAGTCCTATTTTTTTTTTTCCTCTGCTTTTTGTGACCTGTGGCTCAGCCTTGCCCTTTTTTGTGGAGTTTGAGTGCCCCCTTCTGGCCTCATGTTGTCATGAGACTACAAGTACATTGTACTCGCTTCCAGTAAAGTAAAATATCAAGATCATTTTTATACATGTATAAAATGCCTGGAACCAATTCAAGGATTTGTTAAATGGTTTGAGAAGACACTGGGAGTCTGTGGGTTCAACTTTAAACATTACAGCTAAAGCCATTTAGGAAGGGAGGGGGAAACACCTGGGCATCAATAAATCTGTAAATCTATCAGCCTATCAGCATTCAGCAATAAATAAAGTCACCCCTAATAACTAATGAGGTCTCTTCTAGGAGCACAACATATATCTCAACAGTTGTAAAAGAGAAAAAAAAATGTAATTACAATTAAAGAAGCAGTTTCTATGGTTCACCACCAATAAGCTATTTCAAATAATTGTGGGTCTGAGTTTTAGCATGTTTCCTTATAAGAAACACACTTCTCTATTAGAGGAGGGTAAAGCGAAAAGTGTGGGGGGGGGGAAACTCTCTGGAGTCAAAACTCTAACCAGACGCCACTGCAGTGGTATTTTTGAACCCGTGCGTCAGAGCTGCGCCCGTGGCCAAACCGCTTATTAAAACGCAGAGAAGCCAAGTGCCATAAAGACAGAAGGCAAGCAGCTTGTTATTATTCTTTCTGAGAGGTGAACAGGCTGAGATCAATGGCTGCAGTGGTTTCGCCTCGCCACAACTATGGCCCTATAAAGCACAAAGACCCGTGTGGCTCCGACCCATACAGTCACAGATATTAAGTATTCCAGGGGCCTTTGAAAGAGGCTGCCAAGAATAATTTCCCACATGTAACATTTCCCACCAAAGCCACAGAGTCATACTGGCATATTCTGTGCCCCCACTAGACCCCACATGCCCTCACTAAAGTGACGCAGGAGAATCGATGGAAAAACAGATCCACTTCATTAATAAGGAGTCACGTTTGTCTTTATTTTTTATATACAGATGGCTGAAAAAAAAACATTTAGGAGAAAAAAGCAAGAACTGGATGCTGCTCGGGTGTTGCTCAAATGTGACCCAGTTTTTGTACCATGAGTATTAACGAGCTTTGCCAAACTATTTTCAAAAGTCACACTAGAACAAGCTTCAGAGAAAAATGAAAAAGAAGCATTGATACAGGTCACATGTTTAGCATATAGCACATATACCTGATAACATGATAATCAGCACAGGTGAGTTTGAACGTGTAAAATGATCTTAGGCACGTTGTGTGGAAAAGCGACCTGCTTTCTTCATCCCATCCAGCAAAATTTCAAATCCTCAGCTGTCTGAAGCGGGTCTAGATGAATTCATGTCATGTGCCATTTGGTCCAATAAAAAAAAGGCAAGACCAATAGCACTGAGTTTTCTTTTTTTCCTGACCACAGGTAGTAAAAGTATATTTTTATATGAAATGTCTGACCAACCAGTAAAGCCCTTCCAGGGTGGTGTGGCAGCTTGTGTGCAATCAAACCTACTCAAAGAGTATGAAAGTGGCTAAATATATGGACATTAACCGCTGACACAACATCTCAGACATTAACCCTGTGGAGATTTGAGTTTTAAAAGTTACGAGTGAACAGCAGCAATGGCAGGCTATAATATACTCTATGATAGCCAGCTCTGGCTAGCTGGCAGAGCAAGCCTACATGATTGCATCAATTTTCAACTCTTCTTTTGACTCCTGATGCATTCATATAGTACTACTGCATGTCATCAACTTTTGTGTACTCTTTCAAATGCTTTGTTTGGTCGGGGTCTCTCTACATTCTCCTACTCTCTCCGAAACAGATAACTGTCCCTCCCTAAGACCTGTGCCAGAGGTCTCTTCCTTTTAACAGGGTCTTCCTTTCTGCCACTGCCAAGTGCTTGCTCATAGATGATCATCTAATCATTGAGGTTATCTCTCTAATATTCAAGGGCATCACCTGTTTGACTGTCACTGCGGTGGTTTAACCTGAGCTAAATTTGTCTTAGATTCATCAGGCAAACGTTGTACTGACAAACACAATTCCTAGACAAAAGGGAGTATGTTTTTATTTTGCCCACAGCTGCACTGTTTGGTCACAATTTAAAAATGCCACAAAGCCAGTTTTTCTAAACAAGTGCTGGGAATAGTAGGATGATGAGTTTGGTACCAAAAAACCAGTCAACCTGCAAGTGATTCAGCGGTATATGCATTACACTGAGAGGTGGCAGAGTTGAAGATTTTCATTGGGGCAAGATTAGAAATGAGTACATCAGAGGGAGAGCTCAGGTTAAGCGGATTGGAGACAAAGTTAGAGAAGCGAGATTGAGAGGGTTTGGACATGTGCAGAGGAGAGAGAGTGGATAAGCTGGACAAAGGACATTGAATATGGGGCTAAAGAAGATGACCACAGAGAAGATTAATAGATGTAGGGAAGCAGGACATGCAGAGGGTTGATGTGACAGACACGGAGGAGGGTAGGGACAGGGTGAGATAAAAGCAGATGAGCTACTCTGATTGCCCCTAAAGGAAGCAGCAGAAAAAAAAGTATAACTGTCTGTTCTGGGAGATCCTTAAAACAGCAAAATTAAAAAGCACCATTTAGACTTGTAATTCAGTTCATTAAGGAGAGTCAGTTTCACAGCAATGTTTTCCAATCTCCAACTTCCAGCCATTTAATTAAACTACTTAACACCTGGCACTGAACAGAAACAAATTAGCTGAAATTATAATATTTTTATATGCACATTTGTCTAAATATTAGACTTTTTCTGAACTATGTTACTCTGTTGGTATTTCTAACAGACTGTTTATCTGTAAACATTGTGGGATGAAAAGCCATGAAAGCACACTGCTTGACTTTGTAGTGTCACATAAAGACAGATATTTATTTGTTAATAAATGGCTACGTTACATCTCAAAAGTTTGTTACTCATAAAACTCCTTTAAAAAAAAACAAACATACATTCAAAATTAAATTTAATCCAACAGTAAATTATTGAGAAATGTTGTGAATGGCACCGATTAAAGGAACTGCGAACAACTTGAATAAAATGCCTACATATCACACAGGTGCCCATTTTCTACAACCATCTGTTGGGACATTGTGCTGCCTAATGCAAGTTTATGTTAAATCCTTTGCAGTTATGTTGGCACGGATAAAACTGCTGTGTTAGTTTGCTGTGTTCTGTGAGGGAAGATGCATTTTAACAACTGTCAGCATGAAAAAAGCATGAATTTGTTTAAACGAGAATAACCTGAAGAGTTAGAAGATATTTGGTTGCTTTTGTTCAGACAATAAAACATGCAAAGGCTGATACCTATTCTTGCTTACTGTTGTTTGAACAAGTATAACTGCTTTCAGTTGTGCCATCTCAGAAAAAAAAGCCTATTAGCATTATAAACCTGCATTAGGCATCTCAATGTCCTGCTGTGACACTGAAATGCTGGCTGCTCTGCATGAACATAGTCAATTAAAAACCATAGTCACTTACAACTCTTTTCATTTTTACAGCTGAAATAAAATTAAATGTGCTTTTCTTTCCTAAAAAATACATTTCTAAGAGATCTTTTGAGTGACAGTATAACTGTTACTATACCACAAATGTATACATTGAACATATTTTACATAAGGCACAGGCTTCCAAAGCACTACAATCTTTGCAAAAAGGTACAGTATATTTAAAGCAGCCCATCCATTTACCTTCTAGGATAATCTTTGAGAATTCTGCTTTGCATGTTATGATGTAAATATTCAATTTAAATGCATCAGTTTGAGCCTACCTTTATATTATTGCATGACAGCCTATAAGTTAGAAGATAGGGTTGTGTCAGATGAGTTATTAGATGCAATATGAGGTCGAAAATGCCCAGAAAATAAGTGTTCATGCAAATAAGATGAGTGTAGAGTAGAACCAAAAGGCCAAACCACCACTTTTGGATAAATAATGTGAAAGGAAATTAAAACTAATAAATCTAAAACTAATCTATCTTGACTGTCAGCTACAGAGAAGCTGCAGTTCACTGGAATTGTAGGTCAAAGCAGGTGCTGGCACATCTGTCCCACTAAGAGCATCCTGCCCTCTGATTTTCAGGTTGACAAACTTTATCTTCCAGCTGTTGTTGTCCAGAGGAGAGCGGATAAGGCCAAATATTTGTTCAAAGATTCCCAGACAGACTGCATCTCTGTGAATAGTCCCAGCCACAGCCACCAACACCAAGCCATGACGAGAGGTCAAGGCTTTGAGGCCATGGGGATCCAAATTGGGACTGAAGAGGAGACGCTCATCCCTGGTCAGTGCCAAGAATCGACGACTAACCAGATCAGCACCCAGAAACTCCTCCATCTGCTCACTGCCAGCTCTGAGAAAGACATAACTCTGTTATTAGTGTTTTGGGGTTGTTTTACCTTCATCTCTATGCTTTGTAAGAAGAAAATCAGAAGGAATAATCTACCTGAAACAGAGGACTACTCTGAATAAGATTATAAACCAACAACATCAGTATTATTTAAATTCTCATTTGCTTTCACTACTAATGAGGTTCTTACTTGGAGAGGAGACGTAACTTCACATCAGGCCAGAAATGTTGTGGTCCCCAGTCTTGGGGCTGTTGGCCAAGTGAAAGGTTTTGACTGTTCAACAGCTGGAAGAACCACTGACAGAACTGCTGGCCGAGGACCAGCGGATCAAAGCCCATCCCACAGTTCACATCTGAGGAAGCCGCCTCTCCTTGAGGGTTTTCATCCACCACCTCCATAAAGAAATGAGAGGTTGTTGTTACATATGATCTTCAGTCTCTACAAGTCAGAGCACTACACCCATATTAGCTAGAAGGTCAGTTCTTTGATGGAATGGCAACAGGTTCTAAAATATAAAGTCTGAGTAAGGCTTGATTTTAGAGCTGGTGTTGACCCTGAATTTTGGGAAGTACAAATTCTAATATCAATATACAGTGCTGTAAAAAAAACAACAACAAAAAAAAAACAGCACTCTCTTCCTGATTTCTTATGTTTTTGCATATTTGTCACAGTTACATGCTTCAAATCATCAAACACATTTTAGTATTGGTCAAAGATAGCCAGAGTAAATACAAAAATACTGTCTTTAAATGATGTTTGCATTTATTATGAGTAAAAAGCTATCCAACCCTACCTGGCCCTAAGTAAAAAACAAAAAACAAAAACATCTTTCTGATTGTCAAGACAATGGAAAATAGTCTGTGGTCTGACAAAACAAAATATTAACATTTTTGGAAAGTTTGCATCCTGTTACATCTGGTGTACAACTACTACACATTTTTTTTAAAATAAAAAATAAAAAATAAAAAAAATAAATTAAAAAAAACAGCAACAGTCAAACACTGTGGTGGTAGTGTGATCGTTTGGGACTGCTTTGGGATCTGGATGCCTTGCCCTGACTGATTGAACCAAGAATTCTGCTCTCTACCAGAAAATCCAGAGAATGTCCAGCCATCAATTTGCACCCTGAAGCTCAAGAGCACTAGGGTTATGCACCAGTGCAGGGATCCAAAACACAACAGGAACTCCATCTCTAAATAGCTCAAAAAATAAAATGAAGTTTTTGGAATGGCCTATTCAATATCAAAACTGCTTGATTGCAGTTCTTGCTGCCAAGGGTGGCACAGTCTGTTGTTCGGTGATTACTTTTTCAAAGCAATATATAACCTGTTATAAAGGTGCGTGAGGACACTGTGTGTGAATAACCCTAATTATGTCTTCTCTTTCCAGGCATACCAACATCAGTGCCATGTCTTCACTTCACTGGACTTCACTATTCAATAAACAATACTTTCCATCCTTTATAAAATAGATGGGTCGCCTTTGGCTTATCCCCAAATAAAATTTTACTGGCGGCAGTGGCTTCTGTTTCTCTCGTGTGTCAAGTTACCTTTACAGAGGACCACAGCTCCAGGGTCCTCTTTATAAGCATGTGTTTCTCGCTATTTGGGGGCATCGCCACACCTTCTGTAGCCAGGTACTTGAATATCAGGTCACGCTGAACCTTTTTCCTCCTCAGGAGCTCTTCGGCATTTTTAGTGAAGGCGAGAATGGTTTCTTTAGCTTCTGCAGTGGAAAAATGATCAGACAGAGTAGGATAAGCTAATCATTTATTTATCTATCCAGCAGAGGTGAGAAAACACTGAAATTTTTCATGCAATTTATTTGTTATTTCTTGGTAGGTATACAACAAATCTCTTATGTAACTCACTGGGCTCCAGTAAAGACTTAAGGTAAGCTGACTTCCTCTTTGCCATATGAAATTGAATAAAAGTCTTACCCGTAATGTTTTCCACGACTATCATCTTATTCGTGACCGTATCACTGAGTGACAGTAAGTCGCATTTTGTCATTAGGCTCAGTATCTTCGTAAATCCAGCACGCTCTGTTTCTGATAGTCCTGACATTTTTGGCAAAACGAAAACACTGGGGCGGTTTCGTCCATGCGAGTCCTGCAAGAAATCTCTCCGTACGGAAACAAGCAGTAGTGGGAACGGGATCCGTTCAAAACACTGGTTGCTATGTTACATTGATGCGTTCGCCATATTTCGGAGGGCAGACAACTTAAGGTATTGTCAACACCGCAATTGTCACCGTAAGAGCTAGAAATTACGATGACAGAGTGAACACGAATGTAGTACAGAAGGGCTTTCGCTGCCTTTAGGTTTGTAAAAAATATGGGAATCTTGATATTTACTTACAGAAAGCAAAACAAACAAAAGTAATTTTTTCCATTACTTTTTGCTCTCACTAATAAGTAGGAGCTAGAGAGTGCAGTGTCTTCTGCTGTATCATTCAGGGGAAACTGGTGCTCTGTACTGACACGTTTTGTGGTAATTATTACGTAAAAAAATGGCAGTTTTCTCCATTTTTCCTTGAGTTATTAGAGGCTCATTAGAATAAATACCAAAATATCAATCGTTTAAATTTGAAGTGTACGGTGAGCTCCTGAAGGCATCATAAACCAAGCTAGCAGCTAGCCTGCGCAGTAGCGATGCTCGGACGGGAGAGCTGGTCAGCCTGTTTAGCTGGCGTCACGCTATCATATTAACATGCTTTAACGAGGCTAAGAGGATCCGTTCTCCAGTTTAATATCGTACTGTGAAGCTAGTGAACCCGAAAGGTAATGTACTGTTATCATTTGCTAATTTACCCTCAGCTAGTTATCCATTCGTTTAGCTTAGCTGGTATGCTGTTAGTGCAGTGCCGCTTATTTACATGTCACTTAAACATTTAGGCATTCTTGTTAGTTTTTTCAGTTAAACTGCTGGTCCACTTACAGTAATGTTTTAGGGTATGTAATATTATTTTCCCTTCTGTCGGGATTCACATTCAACCACACGTTGGTATTTACTGTTTATCTTTGGTCTTATTGAATTGAACTATCTTACATCTTACAGTTTGATACTTTTCTTGAAATCAGTGTATGATCGTGGTAACGCGATTAGATCTGGAGGTTTCTGTCGAGAGCAAATCAGGGGATTTGACATGTGTACGTTCAATGACACAGAAACGTACCTTAGACATTGACCTATTCCTGCTGGTTTTTATGTAGCATCTGAGTCGCATAGACAAATATTGATAGACTTCAAAGCTAAAGCTGTCAGAAGGAATGAGGAACTGTGTCATTGCAAAAAAAAAAAAAATCATTTCGCAGGACATGCACATCACACTGGCCAGCTTTCAACACAAGGAAATATTAAGAAATGAGCAGGAGGAAGAAACTGCCAGTGTCTAGTGGTGGTAGTATCATGCTCTGGGGCTGGGAATAATGAACGAGGTTGCCTTCAAATTCTTCAACTTCACCTCAAATCAACAGCTAGATAGTTAAAACTTGAATATAACTGGATGTCCCAACACCACCATGGTCCCAAACAAACATTCAAACTAGTTTTGAAATGGATTAAGCATTAAACATTAAGCTTCTGGACTGACTTTCCTAAAGCCTTGACCTCAAACTTATTGAAAATGTGTGGACTACTTCTGCCAAGAATAGTGGTCTAATATCTAGGCACAGTTATGCCATAAGCATAATGGATATCAAAAGTGTCTTGTTGAGGTGCAACTTGCTAAGGGAAACTTAAATGAATATTAGCGGTGGTGTATCTATATATTTCAACCTGTATATATACTTTTCAATATATATACTTTTCTGTGTTATTAGAGACAATCCATACATTTTCTTCTGGTTATCTGGGGCCGGGTCACAGGGGCAGGACATATAAACAGTATACACTGGATATATGTACACAAAGCCTAAATCTAGATAATTGTATTTCAAGGAGTTTATTACATTTTGTACAAATTGAGGAGGCCAAAAGTGTGCTTCATGTTGGGTATGTTTTCTGCTTGGGGATTATCTATTTTTGCATACATTCTTCAAATTGTATAAATCTTTCTCTCTTGATTTTCCATTAGTATTTCCGATGGGAGACTATGAGAGCAGTGCTCCTGGGCGAATAACTGTGTATTCAATCCAGGGTTGCCCACACTGCATGCAGGCCAAGGCCACCCTTGCTGGCTTGGGAGTGCCTGTATGTGACATAGACCTCGGTAGTCATTCAGAGCTGAGAGCAAAGGTGAAGGAGCTGACAGGACGCAGCACAGTCCCTCAGATCTTCTTTAACAATGTTCATGTTGGGGGTAACGACGACCTGCAGAAACTGGTGAGGAAAAGGAAAACATTTCTGACGATACCACTAGTTTACTGGTCCCTAATGACCAGTAAACTAAGAGGTCAAGCAATGTCCAAAAATGGGGGAGAAAAACTAATTTGAATTGATACTGTAATTTCTGTAGTCACCCGAAGAGCTTCAGAGGCTGGTAAGTCTGGTGAAGGAAGAGCCCCTTCCAGCAGATGCACCACCTCTGCCACAACAGAGTCAGTCAGAGCATACAGCTTCGGAGAACGAAGGAGGTAAGGAATTAATTCTTAAGAGTTTTTGCCTGCTTAAGATCATTACTTTCCTTTCCTTCCCTTTACAGTCAAAAATGCTCTTAAGGCACATTTTAATGCGGTTCTTAAATATATTTGTAAAATACCTTCTGATATTTTAGTATATTAACTGCCTATCTTTCAAGAAATAGACAAGCACGGTCTGAAGTCAGCGTGTCCGGTTATGCATAGTCATTGTTGCCTGAAGGTGAGCCAAGAGCAAAGAGTGGTTATGAAATAGCATTGGCTGATGTAGTGAAAAAGCCATTTTTAGGCAACATCAGATGTGTGTGTGTGTGTGTGAGTGTTTGTAGAAAAATATTGAAATTTAATGTTAGCTTTTGTGAAGTTTAATTAAGTTTAATTAAAATCAACAGTACGTGGTACTACACATACATCTCTGGCACCTAACAATAATGCACTGAAGAGCAGAACAAGTCATCAGATTGTAGTCTGTGTAATATAGGTGAGCTGCTTCTGATAGAGCAGTTTTATTTAGTGTTTGCACAGATGTATAGACTATTGGAGTACTTACAGTTTTGCCTTTTTAACAATGACACCCTTTACATATACAGTCAGAACCATATTATACAATACGTTCCTTATGCCAGATTCTAACCATCCAAATGTTGCAGAAAAATGCTTAAAAGACTTGTGTTGCTGCCATGAGATTCACTGATTCCATATTTGCATTAATGAGCAGTTGAACTGGTGTACCTAATTAAGTGGCAGGTAAGTGTACAATATAATGGGGGGGGAAAGAATGAAATTGCCATTTGTGCGTGTAAATATTTCTTTGGAAACATGATTTGTCTCTGTGATCCCTGTCAGACTTTATATAATAGACAGGACTGAAGTCTGATGCTTAAAAAAAATCTTAGTAATGCTTGTGCCATATATACACGGTTACACATTTACTTAATTCCTCTTCAGTAGTGTATATTCCAAAAATCTCATTTACAAACCAAAGCAATGCTGCTGTGTTGAAATGAAAGAAGCCTGAAGTTTACCCAGCTCAGGCAATACCTTTTCTCACCAGCGAGACATTTTTTCACAGATGCAGAACTACATCGTTTATCAAATTCTTTCATACATGTGTGAACATGATTATATTTCTGTGTGTTTATACATGTGTGACCTGGAAATTCCACGCGTGTAGAATTTACGTGTGAGAGAGATGAGTTGGCAGACCTAGTGGAAGACCTCAAACATGCCAGCATGATTGGCAGTCATAGGAGGGGGCTGACTTTATACAAAAAGAGCTTCTCAGGAAGTCAGCTGGTTGACTGGCTGCAAAAAGAGAAGGGCATGGGTAAGTAAGGCTGTCAGTGATATAGGTAAAATCTCATGCAATTTTCCAAGCGCCCTTATCCTTACAAAACATAGTCAAATTCAGTTCTGTCAGCACTTGATTGTGGCTATGTGTACACTAGCCAGGGCTGCAGCCTGTAATACTGGACAGGCATTGTTGAAGAAGAAGTACATGATCAGAGTTCATGGCTGTGAGCAGCAGGATGGCAATTTTGGCGAAGGAAAAGACACCATGGATGCACTGTACAGGCTACTGGAGGATGATTCAGCTCTCAACGCAGGACAGACTGCAAACTGCAGTCCCATGCAGGGTACGTCAGGACCAGATAAGGCTTGGAGTGTGCACGTATCGCATTTCAGGTTCACTCTGAGCAGTGTCTTTCAGCACTCTACTAACCCATGTCCTTTCGTTGCTGCTAACTTAGCATATGATCCTTCTGGGTTTGCTTGGGTTTGTGGCTTTAAGAGCTGAAATATGGTGTATCCAATAAAAACATCATTCGCTCATTAGCTTGCAATGCCTGCGTGACTGAGTGCATTCTCTGTCTTGAAAATCTATGCAGTATTTTAAAAAAATACTTAAACTCACTGTCTTCATCAGTGAATTAATATAACTTAGCAAATTTAGACTAAATAAATAAACTATATTTGATCATAAATAATGCTTTATGATGATATCATGCATAAAGTGTATCAGGCTGCAAAGAATCTAGCTGGATTTCAATGTCAGCTGCTGGCTGTTTCACAACAGTTTCCTGCTTTGCTGTGGGCTTGGGTCAAATTAATACTTGGTTTTAATTTCCTGTCAGATATTCCTTTACTTCTGCAATGGTGGTGGTGAGTCATATTGGCTGGCTCTGTGTTGGTGTGTTTATACCTGAAAGCTGCACACTTGTAGAACCTGTAGAGTCACACCATGATACCAGCAGGATTTTACCCAGCTTCCTTTTTTTCTATAGCGCCTGATAAAAAGCACAATTTGTTTTTCTTTGTTTTGTTTTTTCCCAGCTCTTGTTTAATATTTTGACTCTGAACTATGTTGATTTTTATTTCATGTTTTTCTCTCTTTGTCTTCCTGCCAGCCACTGAGCTCTCTTTGCTTTTACGGGAGATGATTCTGAAATTGTTCTCGGAGCATCTCTCTGCCGATGGCAAGGTAATGTTGTCCCTGATGCTCACTGAGTGCATGTTGCTATTTTGTAAAAGCAACAGTGCATTTGGATCTGTGCCACACAGTGTGTACTGTTGCACTGGGCAAGCTGTGTGTTCATATGAAGTTTCACTT